CGGAAACATTACTTACTTTACAAAACAATCTAATGATACGAAAGTAACGACTAGAAAGGAAATTGTAAAATGTGGATTTCAGAAAACAGGAAGATTGGCATAGAATTCACTCGAGTAATCATAATTAATAGAATAGATTAATACTGATAAATGTATCACATGGTAAGAGTGACTAATTTGGATAGTTACGGTAAATATCTTTTGAAACAGATTTGTCTGTTACTCTAAATTATATAAAAAACAAACACAATTAAGTTTGCTGTTTACAATGAAAAAAATGACTGCGCAGTAATAACATACACGCACGCACACGCGCATTACTGACCGTTTACCTACATTTTGTTTATAGTAAACATAATAGATGGATTGATGTGTCCCTTTGTTTTATTAGTTTGACTATGTTTGTTTTTGTCACTACTCAGGTGACCTACACACTCATTTCACAAACAACGAATGCAGAATTTGGTCGTTAGTTAAGAAGTGCGCGATATATATATATATATTCAACACAAGTGTGAAGTCAATCACTGCTTCTATACGGGTCAGAAACTTGGCCAGCGTTTCACGAAAAGCATTTCCAACAAGGTACACAATTTTATCGACACCTGCTACTTTCGCTAGCTGGCTCTATGCTGAAGATCAAATGGCTTGCTAGCCAGCTGGCCAGAAAGAATTAGCAACAAGAAACTTTGGTTGGCAAAAAACCCACCAAGAACCGATGGCTCAACAAATATTTTGGTGAAAGTGGAGAAAGATCGGGTAAACATTAAGGAAACCATCAAATAACATCGTGTGTCAGGCCCTCGAGTTGAATATCAATGGGAAGCGAATAGTGCGTCAGTCTCTCTGATTTCAATGCAGCAGTGCAAATAGCGACACTCCATGTAGCACACAAAGCGATAGAAGAAAGTAGAAGAAATGCAAAATAGAGACAGTAGACAGGAATATGAGACAAAATGAATAATAATATCGAAGAGCAATATAGTTTCATTGGAAAGTAAAGGTCACACGGAGTGGATGCATCTGCGCCAGCCATTGAGAACAATTCTAAGCCACATCACCGACTGTTTCCAGTCATTGGTTTTTACCGTCCCGAAGACCCCAACCAGGAAGTCTACATCTCTCTACGTGACTGGCTGGCTTAAACTAACTGTTGTGGATTTCATTGACTGATAAGCCATGTTCCCGTTTGACCGCCACTGGCTCTTTTCCAGTCTGACCCTATATCAGCCAACATCGACCGTCAAGGAATGCGATGACTACGGATACGTACCACATGTCCCAACCATCTCAGTCAATGTAGCTTCATAGCCTCATCGACTGATTTCCTCTCCTTACCTAGCACTCGACGCCTAACCTCAGTATTACTTATCCTACTATACGACGAGTGGGTCATAGGTACGAGAGTAACATAGAGGAGATCGTGCGAGTTGGAAGAGTTGAAAGACTATGGTCAGTCGTGGACCCAGATGAAGAGGACGACGGAAAATAGGAGAATGTGGAGATGTGTTGTTGAAGCTCTATATTCCACTCGGAACCCAAGGGAATAATAATAATAAATAAAAAGGTAGTACTTAGGTAGACGCTTATCAAATATATTGTCTAATATTTCTTTCTTTAATTTCCAGTTTTATACGCAGATGTTCTTCCTCAATACTTTTATGTCTGTCTACATATTCATCAACTATTTACCTAAAAATAAAGATTATATGTCTATTGAACAAAATTACAAAACCGACAAGTTTTAAGACAATAATGAAACTAGCACTAACACTAGCAACACCAACATCCGCACGACCATCACCCCTCCCCCAACCACAGCAACAACAAAAACAACAACACCAACAACACAAAACATTACAGACTAAATAGGCAGACAGAATTCCAATATTAGCTGAACAATAATAATAATAATATCACGCATTATAATAAAAGGACTGGAGAAACAATATATATGCACTATTGTACCATAACGTTAAATCACCCATACATACACAAACACACTCAATGCTACCCATAAGGAATTAGGAAAAAAACGCAGAAGGGAAATTATTCAAGAGAAAAAACAAAAAAGGTTTCAGACTAAAAGAAAAAAACTGAATAAATTGATTCTACTGCTTTTTTGACATTGAAGGATGGGGATGGAATCGATAAAAATGCCGGATAAACGTGTTCCTCTTGTTTTGCCAATACTACCACCATTTACTGACTTCTTTATCTCATATCATACACATATGCTGTGCATAAAAAATATATTTTAAAGATGCGAGCATCCGAATGCACGCATGCACGTACGCACGCACATGTACACATACGCCAAAACGCAAATTACATACCTAGACACTCATAGACATACAAAAGGAAGATGACTTATTTTAAAGAATAAAACCTTTGACAAATCAATAAGTGAAATAAACCTCAGGTATATAATATCCCTTAACCTTACCTAAATATACGCTGTGTCAAATTTAAAATAATCATTTCATCAATGGTAAAAATAGATGACACAAAAGAAGAAGAGCAATAAAGAAAGAATCGATCTGTCGAGAATAAAAAAAAAGGTGCGAAGAGGGAGGGAGGGAAATATTTTGAAAAAAACAACAACAGGAAACTAATGCTATCACAAACACCGAGAATCAGCTGATCGTAAAAAGACACTTAAAAATTAAGTGTGAATAAGTCTCGCAAACTAATTTTAAGACAAAATAAAAGGTGGGAGTGAAATATGAAAGAGATATGAAAATGGTTCTCACTGAACACATGCACACATGTACAGGATGTCATAACTATTAAAATTAAAATATATGTACATTTCGCTATACTGAGTAGGTAATAGTGTCACAGAGTGAAGTAATAGTCAAAGCATAGGCAGAAAATGTTCAGACAGCAAATATGTAAGGCCAGGAAACCAGATTTATTCAATAAATTTTAAATTATATAATAGTTGGATTGCAATTAGGATTAAAAATCAAGTCTAGCAGACTTGGAAAATATGATGGAAAAGATTTGTAGCTCAGGTGAGTAATTTTGATGTGGTTGCGTTCTCTGAGCTAGATAGTTAATTTACAAAGCTTTCATCGCCCTACTAGATGACATCTTCAGTGCATACTTCAATTTGAAGTGAGCTTTTAGTTTTCTCCACGAGTTTATTAATCATCTCTCCTGGTAACCTTGAATGTGATTGGTTATTAAGAAAGGTTGATTAGAAAATAACCTCACACACACAAAGGGTCAAAGTTCAAGTCAAAGAAACAATCAGTTCTAATACAAGTAACCTAGATGGTGTGAAAACACACAAAAATAACCAATCACGTCCAAGGTCACCAGGAGGGATGATTGATAAACTCGTGGAGAAATCTAAAAGCTCACTTCAGCGAATTGAAGTATCCGCTGAAGATGTCACCTAGTAGGGCGATGAAAGCTTTGCAAATTAACTATCCAGCTCAGAGAACGCAACCACATCAAAAGACTTGGAAAACAGTAAGTAATAAAACTTTGATTTCTACGACAACACACAAATACTACTGGTAAGCATAAAAGTTTTTATTCGATTTCATCTGTTTCTGTGTTGTCAACCACATTTGATAACAAATAAAAACACTCCTACAGACTACTATTCCTACTTTCATGTACGAAGGTATCGCGTAGCCAAAGTACGTTACGGAAACCAACACACCTTTCCTCATTTTTCATTGCTTATATTTTGAGGGGAATATAAGGCTTCAAGGTTCTAAGGTTTCAATAACGGTGACCTTGTTATTACAGCGTAGGATTACTAGTCTTATACCCAATCCCACCCTTCTTTCCGAGTTAGGAAACTAGACGAAGTTTAGGTGTGCATCAACCAAGAATCGAACCCGGATCATTTGGGTGGTTGCCTAGCAGACCAACGCTGAACCACTGACGCATAGATTTCATAATTAACCATTAAATCGTAAAATCACTAATGCACAGCGTCCATCATTGAATTTACCATACTGTCAAGGCAGTAACATATGTGACGGAAAAATTGTTTTAGAAATCCTTTTTGGACGATTTATTGACAATATTTGTACTTATTTGGGTGTTTCAACGAGCTCTGAAATTATTATACGTTTTTCTCCTAGACTGTATATAATTATTTTGACATTTTCATGTCGCATGTTGATTTGATCCACATTATTTGTCTAGAGGCACAGTAGAACGCAGAGATCGGTGTCTTGCGTTCAGACTATAACGAGCCGGTCTTGGTAGCTACAACGTATGAATTCAGCTGACCTAAGCTATTTATCCAAAAAGAAGTTTATTTGAAATTTACTTTTCCTTTGGACTAGACAGGTGAAATTTAAGTTTTCTATGTTTAGAACCCTCGACTGAACAGAGTGCCTGGCTACTCCAGACGGTGGTAATTCGCCGATCGAAATAAATATCTCACCATAATCTTCACGTCACATTTTCAAACTGTCCATATGGTGGTGAATACATCACAAACAACAAGCAAAGCGAAAACAATTGCACCGCTTGAGCATTTGAAGCCATTCATATTTTCATTTTTATAACGGTACTGCTGAGAAATACACTCATTAGACAGTAATTTATTTAGAGTCAGACACGTATTTTCGGTCTGAATAACAAACACAAAATTTTTAATGTCTTAAGCAAATATAGAGTTCCACAATGACTCGGCAGATCAGTGATAGACTGCTCGCCAACCTCGCGTATGGAACGGGTTCGACTACCGGCCACCTCACTCCTAAACCTCCCTTAGCCTGTAATAAACCCCGATAAAAGGGGTATGCTAAGTGTGAGGCTAGCACCCTCTACCCGTACACTTATAAAATTAACACCAATGCAACTAAAAAGTGAAAGCTCAAACTTGGAACTTTAATTTTCTATTAAGAACGCAAAAACAAAGTGAAAAGATATATGAATGAACACTTCAAACAATACATATCATCTATAAAGTAACAATTCGCATTCGAAGTTTAAATAACACTATCTACATAGCATAACTAACTTACCACAAATTCGAATATGAAGTTTAACGTGTTCTTTGTATGCACAATATCGTGTAAAATAACAATGTTAGCGTGACGTAAGGCTTTGAGTAGGGAGGCTGGAGAAAAAAAAAGATTACAATACAGAAAAATGTAGAATATTTTATTAATGAAAGAAATTTTGTCAGCTACTTATTGTTATTAATCACAAATCAGTTACATTAGATGGTTGGAGGCAATTGGCAGGAAGCCTTGCTTGAACTACGTTTCGTATGAGTTGGCACTCACCAGTCAGCAAGGAACTCATATCCCTTCTGAGATTCAAACCCACGTTACCCAGTACTGCGGTCAGAGATGTTACCACTGAGCTATTCGGGCCCACGATTGACCTCCTGTAGGGCTGTACTGGATACTTTTGATTGGACGCTAGTTAGTAATCAGTGCAATGTGTCTAGTCCTCTGTTTGGTGCAGACTGAATTCTATCAGTCACGTTTGCAATGAGGATACTGGGTGACGCGGGTTCAAATATCAGAAGAGAGTTCCTTCAAGGTTTCAGATACGCCTTGCTGACTGGTGAGTGCCAACTAGCATGAAACCTAGTTCAAGCTAGGCTTTCTGACGATTGCCTCTAACCATCTAATACCAACAATTCAAATCGCACCATGACGCCGAGCCACCTAGTGGCATAGCAGCCATATTGCAAACGTGACTGGTAGAATTCAGTCTGCATCAAACAGACGACTAGACACATCACATCAGTTACTGACTAGCATCCAATAAAAAAAAATCAGTTACATAATGAAAGCTAATGACTATTGCTAGTGAGTATGTTTTTGATAATTCACAAAATTATGGATTATTTTTTCAGTTACATGGATGGAAGTATTCTGAATAAGTTTTGGTAATTAGAGACTATAATTATTCTTTGTTTAAACTTCAGAATTTCCGGTTTCTAGTGTTTACTCGACCGAAATGATCAATGTCTGATGTCATATCGGCTTTCACAACAGATGTTTCGGAAATGTCATCGATTTCAATATCAACAACACATTTAAGCGAACAATACTGTTTTCAATTAGATCTCATCAGGCTTAACTCTAATATATATATAAGTTTACAAATAAAAATTCAAATATAAACCAATCATGGTGTTTTGTCTATAGGATAATACGATGGTGAATATAAATTGTGCAGTTAGTCATAATAGTGGTAATGATAATATTAATAATAGTAATAATAATAATAATGGTCTTATCAATAATAAGGATGAAAAATGAGGCATTCTGTGATAACACGAATAATGAAAAACAGTATGATTACACAAACAATTGTTCAGGTGGAAGTAGTCTATAAAGGCTAGTAAAAAAATGAACCGATTACGTAATGTTAGATTGTAGGGGAAGAAAATGAAACACGTTTATAATGAATATAAGATAAGATTAAGGGATGATAAGAAGGGGGATGAAAATAAAAGCAAAGAGTGGTGTAGAAGTCATTATTTGGTTATGTCTTATCAGGCCACGGGAGGGATAATGGCTGTACGAACTTCTTTTGAATGCACAATTTAGGTTTAATAGTTCGAATGCCTATCAATTTCATATATTTTGGTGATTGATGATCAGTAGAAGTGTGCATTTAAGAAAATCTGGACTTCGTAGACCATTTATGTCAAATGCAACCTCGAAGATCTCCAGGAGGACACCAATACGTTGATAGAAGAAACAGTAGAGACAAGACGGAAGTGATCAAAATACACAGCGACCAGCAAAAACAAGTAGTAATCACTATCAGTGGGAGAGATCTGAATTAAGCCATCTCTTCCATTTATCTGGACACTTTTGTTTCAATTACACGAAGCATGGATGAAGACGTCTAAGCCAACCAGGATCTAGAAGGCATTCATTATCCTGAAATCAGTATAGAAACCTGCTGCACTCAACATAAGTGACAAGATCAAGATCTTCAGCACATATGTCAAATCAATTTTTCTATACGGTTCGGAGATTTGGCCTGCTATCACTACTGCAGACTTGGATGAGCAGTGAATTAACCACGAGCCTACTGCTTAATAAATATGCAGAAGGAAATGGAGTTGGTTTTGATATACGCTCAAGAGACAGCAAGATGGGTGTAGGACGGACAGTGACGTGGGAGTCGTGTGAGAGAGAGGTGAAAATTTATGAGCAATACTAGAGCAATCTAAGACTGCTGAAAACAAGACGAAATGTAGGTTTGCTGCTGAAGCCTCATGTTCCACTTGGAACCCAAGGGAATAATAACAGTAGTAATTACTTTTTACTACCGACTTGTTCGTCGGAAATACCACAATCCAATTGATGGTTGTTTTCCCACTGAGAATTGAATGAACTAACTTCTTCGACAGAGACTGATCATTTTAATAGGATGAAAATAAACAATAACAGATTCTAAACTTTTAAGTAATAATTATTGTCCGTTGTCAGTTTGCAACAGTCGGATTAGGTAGAGGTTTGATTACAGGCTGAAATCAGTTAGAGAATAGCTGAACAAGATATGGCTCTTGCTTTTGAAACCAAAGGTGTTTATTTTGAGTCTTACTGCGGTACACTATCACTTGCTGTGAAGCTAACATATTTTTTAATTTTTTTAAAATTTTTGATTATAGCTTGAAACCATACAATATTTTTGGTACAAGTATGGAATTTTCAGTATGTGATATCGGTAGACCAAATTTTGCAGGCCGACCATAGATATCAAGTGTGCGTCTGCAGGGGATCGAACCCCAGACCATGTGCATGGTCGGCGAGAGTTCTAACCGCTGTGCTACCGACGCACAAAATGCTTAGTTGACTAGTCCCAAATAAAATGAAAAAATGGTCTCAATTGTTTATAACTTCTACTTTTACCTTCCTGTGAACTACACTCTAAGTAATGTGTAACAGGCACGTGTAAATTACTACACATTAGTTAACAAATGCCTTTCTATGCAATTAGGCCATATTTATAATAATAATGCATTCATCTGATTAGTTTTTACATATGTTCAGTCTGGTAAGCATTTTTTAAACCTCTTAGCAAAATGAGAGTAATGGTAAAAATAAATTTGAATGTTTATCTGTCTATATTCAACAATTCAAACACATTTGACGCAATAAATAAATTCCTTCCTATATGTTGCACAAAATGCATCTCCTGACAGTCATAAAAATATACAACATACAAAAACAGCAAAGTATTCATATCGCAGAAATGGTAATGTAGATGAAAAATAAATATATCTATCTACATCAACTGAGAGAAAAAGATGGAATTGATGAGCTATTGGATTCTATCCCATTGGCTAAAATGGTATACAAGTTCACTTTATAACCTGAAGGTTCTAGGTCTGACTCCAGGTGGGGTCATCAATGAGTACTGACAAAGAGTACTAGACAAGGATGAAAAGGCTATCAATGGTTCTGTATTTTTTTATTTCCTTTACGTTCCCAGTGGAAACATAGGGCTTCAAACTACACGCTTGGAGTTTCCGTAGCAGTGGTATTTATTTTTAAGGGATGGGGTTGTTAGCTTCATTTCCAATCTTCCCTCTTTACCAGTCTTATTACTGACTTAGTGAGGTAAACAAGTGCCTCGGCCAGGGGTCGAACCCTGCGTGGTTGGTGAGCATTCTACCACTGTATCACCGACGCAATGGTTCTGTAACTGAAGGCAGTTCGTGGTCAAAAGTGAAATCAGTCAAATCCATGCAAAAAATAACACCTGGATATAGTATTTATTTGAATGCACATCATTTAGTTTGATAGAAACTATGTTAATTTTAAGAAATTTCAAAAAATGTATGCACCATAAATGAGTACTTAAAAAACACTACAAGAATCGTCAAAAAATGTAATTATGCGCGCTTTCTTTTGACCTTAAATGTAGGTCATTTCCAAAGGGAATTATTAAGATAGATTAGTTAGCTGAAATCTTGTTGAATTGTCGATCAATGAATTGGCAATGAAAGTACTACTTGATAACAAGAATAACAGTTTTATTAAACTGAAATGACATAGTGCTGAATCTGACGAAAACACTGCACGGTTGTTGAAAGCAGAATTCGTATGAATCCGTGAGTCTGGCTACCTGACGTCTCATAAACTTATAACATCTATCTAATTTTTATTGAGAAAATGCTTACGAAGAACACGAATAAAAACCTAGCCAACTGACGGATAAAACGAATTACTATTTCGGAGAGAAATGTATGTTACATGATCTTAGCTCAGAGGGCCAGAAAATCAGTGAAATCGCTACAGAAACTTACAAGTACAGAGGAAAAAATATGGAAAATAAACTTATTCTTCGCTAGAATCAGACAGACGATATGATGCGACGTGCTAAAAGCCTTCTGAAATCCAGTCAGACGATGTATCTACCTATGATGAAAGCAAAAACAAATTGCAAAAACTCAGAATTCCCGCACAGTAGGAGAGATCTAAAAGACGTGACCTCTTTCACTTATCTAAGCAGCATCGATTCAACTACAGGCGGCACAATTGGGGATGTCAGAGTCAGACTAGGTCAGAAAAGCAAGACAGCTAGTTCTTCATCCCTATGAAGTTAGTGTGCGAATGCACTTTACTCAGAATAAAAAACAAGGTCTGAACCTTCAACATTAATGTTAAATCAGTTCTTCTATGTAGTTTACAGACTTGGCGTGCACGCCATCGAAAGCACCTCTGACTGGCTACCGCAGACTTTTGTCAACAGCTGTCTTCAATGGTCCCATACTGAAGATCAGATGGCTGGAAAGGAATAGGAACAAGGAACTCTGAGAAAGAACTAACCAACAACCTAATGCCCAAGAAATATACCGAGGGAAATGGATTAAATACAAGCGTTAGACCCTCGAGTGAAGCGACGAGTTGGGTGTCCACCCGTCAGTGACATGGAGGATAGATTGTGACTAGGAAATAAAAGCTTATGTACAATGGTGCAACCAGCTAGAAAATGTCTACAGAAACCAGGATGAAATGGAGATGTACTGTTGAAGTCTTGTGTTCCATTCAGAACCCAAGGGAATAACAATAGTAGTAGATACAGGAGGGCATTAACTTAGGTGTGGGTTATAAAGGTAATTCAACAAAAACTGAGGATTATTTAGATGTCATCTGTTTACAGGTAGTTAGTGAAAGAACACAGAGAGCATAGAGAAGAAGGAGGTGATGAAGATAACCAACGAAAAGCAACAACAACCAGCACCAATCAACATCAACGGGAGAGATTTGACAGACGTCTCGCCAGGAAGCACGATTTCAACCACAGGCATTTGGAACAGAAGCAGTAAGGCCTGATACGTCATCAACCTGAAACCAGTTTGGAAACATTCTGTTTCACTCAGTCAGCATAAAAAACAAGATTCGGATTCTGTTCAACACAGATGTGAAGTCAGTTACTTCTTCTGTATGGGTCAGAAACTTGTACTGCATATCAGTCACAGACTCTTATCAACAGCTGACACTTTCACTGACTGGCTCTATACTGAAGATCAAATGGCTGGCCAGCCATCCAGAAATAATTAACGCTAAGAAACTCTGGCTGGGAACAAACCGACCGAGAGCTGATCGCTCAACAAATATGTAGCAGGAAATGGAGATGGATCGGACACAGTGGAGATTGTGTGAGCTGAAGGAGATGAGAGATTATGAACAATCGTGGACCCGACTGAAGAGGACAGTGGAAAATAGGAGAAAGTGGAGGGGTGTCGTTGAAGCTCTCTGTTCCATTCGGAACCTAATGGAATAATAAATAAATAAGTAGAAAAACCGATGACAGGCATCATATGCTGTCTCACGTTGGACAGTTGAAAATAATAATTTTTCAAGTTAAGACAGGTGCCAACCAATCATCTAACTGAAATCTCTCAACGTTATCCACTAGTCAAAACAGTCGTTTTGTACAATAGGCATGTACGTATGTATGCATGCATGTATACATTAGTTTGTTATTAGTGCCTTGCTTCATTCAGTTTCCTGCTGTTTTACTTTATTCGAATCGAATCTAAATATACATATTTACTTGCTTTATACTTAGATTTAACATTAGTTCCATGTGGTAAACTGTCATAGAATTAACTAATCACAAAAACTATCTGTTAATACAAGTGAAAAATAGACAGTTCTCCTGCAAAACAAAACAAGCCTCATGATACCCAGGAACAAAAAACAACTCCATATGCATTTTAGCATTATAAATATTAACCAATACAACACATAGGAGACTACTACTGCATATTAATTACTACTATTCAACCTATTCAGTTAAGATAACAATGATACCTTTGAAAAAAAAACTTAAATAGTATTCACATTAGACGAGTGATTTACACCACAGTTGATAAAGTATTCCAAGTATTTCTGTCTACAGCTATAAACAATCATCAATCAACAAGACAAGATCCCGAATTACTTGTCAAAAGTGACGTATATATACGTATATATGTGTCCGATGTACTGTTGTGATACAATAACATTTCTTCTACTGTACAAACTAAAGTATTTTAACGTATTTCTTTTATTCACAATCTTTATTACACAACGGAATGGTTGTCATTTCACACAAACACACACACACACAAAGCAGTTGTATTGAATGTTTTTTATATAATTGAAACTGACAGTTAGTCCATAAACTTTTTTCATGTAACAAATTATTTATACATATTAAAACAGCAGTTATACACGATTGTACATATATATCAAGGAGAAATGTGACAGCTAACAAACAACATGAGATGATAAAATGAATAATGACAAGAGAATTGATTTCAGTGCTGTCGATGCTGTGTCACTGTTATCTATTACTTACCTTCACGAATTGCTGTAAACGGTAATCCTTCTTCTGGATTAATTCGTATCTCTTTGACAGCAACAGCACGACGCATTACACTAGATGGAATAAGAAAACAATAGAAACATGCAGGTATGAGTAAAACAAATATAGTTACGCATAATAAGTAGATCTTATTGGTGAATACAAGTGATATGAAATAGATGCCATAAATGGACCTTTGAGTAAACCAAAGCCTCAGATAAGCTACAATCGGCTAAATTACTAAATCAGTTAAGTATACAACACCTGGTAAAGTGGAATATGATAAATTAGAAAGCCATGGGGATGGTCAGTCAAAGACGATGACATTTTTCAGATTGAAATATACAGTTCTTTGGATAACATCATGATTGAAGGTAACCTATCATGTCATATTCCCTTAAATTCGTATCACGTGTTCCGGTGACAATTGAAAAATTGTTGTAAAAAGCACATGAATTCAAAATAAACTTGTTATACTATGTAGGATTAGGTTGGGAAAACGTTAAGGATGATCAAATCAAAACCTGGAATCAATTCATGAAGTCTCCGATAGTTAAGTATTACCCGAATAGGGAGGTGTAGACTGCCTGGTTAGGCAATTCAAGATGCTAAGAATCAATGGCTGGAGACTAGTGGTTTAAAAGCGTTTGCAATGGCACAGATACATCACACTCTGTTACTTTCATGCTTTTCACGTTATTCTTCTTTTTCCGGTACATTTCTGCTCAGTATTGTTTATTTTGAATTTCTTTTTACTCTTTTCTCTACCATTTTATGACACAACAGGTGCGGAAAATTCAACGGCTGCACTTCTAGTGCAAGGTTCTGTGTTGAAACTCAGTCAATCATAAAGTCAGTATCAGTGCATTTCTTAAGGTTAGTGAAAACCAAAATTGTATTTATGAAAAACTAAACCATGTTTTATATAAATGTAATTCAATGTAAAGAAACAAGTGAAGAAAGTATTAAAGTGAAATATCAAATCACAGATTGTGGCAAAACAAATAAGCCTATTCATGCCCTGAACAGCAGCAGCAACAGCATTTTTTATCATCTTGTGAACATTGAACAAGTCAATAAATTCCGTACACTTTATGAAAGTTAACAATTAGAGAATCCTCAATGTAAATTTGAGAGAAATAATGAAACATCTATAACTCGAAACGCTTTTCTGATAGACAGTATAGTTAAAAACGTTATTAATCTCATTATATTAAAAGTAACTGAATGACTGATAGAATTTTAACATATAACTTTGCACAAAAGTGTACCAGTTCAAGTTATCGCCCTGTATGTGGTACAGATATGTAGAGAAAAGAGATTTAAAATGACTATAATGAGCAGAAATGCTTGAGGTAGAACAGTAACATGGAAACGTCGTTTATAAAAGACCATGCAGTTAGAAATGTTATCAATTTCATGTGTATTAAAGTCAACTGACTGACAAATTTTCACCATACAACTTTGCATTGAAGTGCAGCAGTTCAACCTGCTACACTTCGTGTAGTACACAAAGGTAGAGGAAAGACATTTAAAAGAACCATAATAATGAGCACAGAAAGGCTGGGAAAAAAGAATAGTAACTTGGGAAAAACATGATAGTCGAACTGATAAAAGAGATAAGAAGGAGTGAATGCACCTAGGCCAATGAGAACGATATACAGCCATATAGTGAATAATCTCTTCACATTGGTTCCTAGCATCCTAAGACTACTATAGCATATAAAATACCTTGCACTGACTCTGAGTTCAACTACATAGGCCAAAACCAGTAGATCGGGAGTAGCCAGATTATTAAAGCATAACAATTCAGCTAAGTATGTAATGATTGATGCTGTGAAGATAAGTAATTTAAAAAAGAAACTCAGTAATTGCACTGCATGCATGCAGTGCAGTTCATGCATGCACACAATAGGGTGCGACAAAGTTACAATTCTAAAAAGTAATATAGACAGACGGATAGAGAGGTTGATTATTGAAGCCTTGTTGATCGAATCTATACCCAGGACATGCAACAGGAATGACTCATCACTAATACCAGAGATACGGAGAATATTAATACCAGTCAAATCAAGATATGAGAAACAGAGGGATCATATAAACGAAGTTGGAAAGCACGGAATATGCACATTGGGTCATACAAATTATTACAAAGACGATTGCAACGAAGGAAATTTTCTTTTCGACGAAGTCATCATCTAGACTGTACATTCGTGTATTTATATCAAATGGATGGGAAAGTTCCAAAATAATTTCCGGTTAAGGGTCAGATTAATAAAAATTACAATTAGGAATTAAAATGCCATAATAAACAGGGGGACGGATAAAACTCAAACAAAGTAGCATCATAATAACTAAGATGGTTTACATTGCGCAATTGGGGGTTAGAAATGCAGAAACAACAAAACAGATAAGATGTTTGGATAAAAAACTAATGTGATGAATAATTGTTCATGCAATCAGGGATTAAATATGTAGAAATAGTAAAATGACAAAATAAACACGAAGTTCGGGTATGGAAATATGGTAGTGTAAACAGGGATTAAGAAAAACTTTAAAAAATAACTTGAATAAGCTGGAAGTTTAGATAAGAAGGGCGATGGGATAGTTATTACTAAACACTTTTACCTGTTCATGATGGCCATTGGAGGGACAGGGGTTGGACGTATTTCTTTTGGAAAGTTTTTTTTTTTTTTTGATTTACAGCTTGATTCCACGCCGTATTTTGGTAGAAGTATGGAATTTTCAGCATGGATATCGGTAGCCCAAATTTTGCAGGCCGACCATAGATATCAGGTGTGCGCCGGCGTGGGCTCGAACTCCGGACCATGTGCATGGTCGGCGAGAGTCCTAACCACTGTTGTGTGAGTAGTGCCTTGCTATGATTATGAGCAATAAATTGTGCTCGAAACGCCATCAGTAAATATGACAGCATAACACTGTGACAGTTTATCAAAATAAATTTTCTGTATAATGGAATTAAACTCCACCACAGTGACCAAGTTCTATTCTTATATCGAGGATACTTATTTCTACATTACATGAGAATTTCAGTCACCAACAGGATAAGATAATTTACTCTGCATACCAATTAACGCATACTAGTTCAAGAGGATCAAGAAATCAGCTACCAACCAGTACTACACAATAGACAAAGTAACCATGTGGACTCTATTGACTACTAGTGATCCAAGATACCACTGCTGAAATTACCTATCAATGGAAGAAATGCCTTTTACAGTCAGTTACATCCAGCTGGTATATTCCTAAGGGGACAACATATATAACCTGTATTCCATTGTTAAATTTCTAACAAACTAGCGTATAAAGTTTAGCAAAAACAGATGTGAAATAAGAATCGATGTGAAGGGAAATAAACATGATGATAGACACGTATACTTTAAACTTCTTTTTTTTCCAACAATCAAAAAAAGAAAGAGTTTTGAACAGTAAAAAACAGAAAAATAAAGTTATTATTCTAATTATTAGTGTTAAAAACTGAAAGTGATAACAACTGTTACTTCTTAAACGGTCAGATAGTAAGCACATTAGCGGGAGATATCATTTAAACTAGTACATACATACCCAGGTAAAGCTTATTTATTGATCCATATATACATGTGTGTAAGAGAGAGAGTGTGTGTGTGTGGAAACGAAGCAAGCTGCGAAAGTTTATTGTCATAGGTGTGAAGAAAAGATACTAAAGCTGATGACGGTTTTAGTAATAGCAGTTGTACAACTGCCTACTGACTGTGCCATCAATCACACAGTATATATATATATATATATATATATATATATAACTAGTTAGAATGACGAAAAAATCTGAGTGTGAATGAATTCAACTCCTGTTAGAGTTTTGTTTCCTTCTTTGCATTTTAGTGCATAATAGGGATTCACACCTAAAAGTTTCAGCGGCAGCGTTATTTTTTTCACAAAGTGTGACTGCCAGCATAACGCCTAACTTACCCTGTTTTTCCGGGTTTCTCACTGGTTAGATGGGGTTTAGGAGCACGTCGATCTGGAACCAAACCACGGGCTAGATGTGTAGTTGGTGCGTATTTCACCACTGAACCGCCGAAGCACTTGAGACACAGCGGTCTAGTAGTCTGCCCTAAATTACTTATTTCATGGTGGTTGACAATTGTGACATTTATAATTCATTAAAAACTTGAAGCCTCTAACTATTATCATTTCACTTCCGTACAGTTATAAGATGAGCTCACAGCATGTCCATCTGAGAACCACATTTCATTATTTTCTGTGATGCAAATTATATTATTACTTCCTTAGGTTCCGAGTGGAATATGGGGCTTCAAAAGCAAATCTCCATTTGCGGTCCTCTTCAGTTGCCCCGACGGCTGTCTATATACTCTCATCTCTTCATCACACGGTCTCCTCCATGTCACCATCAGACGCTAAAGGTGTCGTTTTCCAGTGGGGTTATACTCAAGAGCATGGCACGCGGTGTCACTTAATGGCGTGTATCCTATCCATCTGCATTCTCTTCAGAATATTTCTTGAGCAATAGGTTCTTGATTAGTTCGTTCTCAGAGTTTCTTGTTGCTTATTCTTTATGTCCAGCCATCTGACCTTCAGTGTGGAGGCAGCAAAGGCAGCTGTCTGTGACAGGCTGTTAGAGAGGCTTTTGGTGTGGCGCCAAGTTTCTGACCTATATAGAAGAACAGACCTAATGTTGGTGTGGAAAATTTCAATTTTATTCCCTGTCCTGGGTTCAGTAGACTTACAAAGTGATTTCTTGTCTTCCCCCATCTAATTTTGACATCCTTATCCATGGCGTCGCCTCTGGTTGGGGACGATGCTACTACCTAGATAATTGGAGGAATTAACCAGTTTCAAGTTCCGCCCATTGATTGTGCTTAGTGCTTGCTATTGCGGTTGTCGGTTGGTTATCTTCATCACCTCCACAATCTCGATGTTCGCTTGAAGCTCTGTATTTGCAGCTTCTTTTGCCAACTTATTAGTTTTCGGATCACATAATATTCTTGGTGTTAAGAAGACTTCAATAAATTCGTTTTTTAGTATCCTAACCTACACAATGGTAATCAACTGT